AGACACTTTATTTTTACAAAAAACGAACAAAACCGCATAAAGCACTCAAAACAGTAGAGAGGAACCATGGTCACGTGGTCTTTGGGCGACTAAATGGCAGACGAGCCAGCTTCTCTTTTATAGCCTTACTATACATTCTCGCTGTGTGAGGCCTCTGAATCGAGAGAAAAGACGAAGTTCTTTATTAGTTCCAATGCAAATGTCGCGTCGTGCTTTCGTTTTTTATTTATGATATTTACAGTTACGATGATTGTTTTTTTTTTAATTAAAACTAATTGAATGAGAAAATAGTTGCAGAAGATTTTTTTTTTTACTTTTTAGAACATTAAAAAATTTATGTTACTACACTAGGGAACCGATTATCCGGAACGATCGGGACCATCGCTATTCCGGATAACTGATTTTTCCGGTTTTCTGAATCGCTACAAAAAGCCGTTTTTTTTATTGTTAAACTCAACTAAAAAAAATAACATTTGGAAACAATCTTAAAAAGAAGAAAAAACGAAGTAATACACTAATGATTATTTTCAAAATGATGGTAAGGTAAGCATTTTTCAAAAAAGAACGAAAAATCCTAAAATCTTATGAATTTTTGTTTTTAAAAATGGCGGGAAAATTTATCAAAATTCGTTCCGGTTTTTTGGTTTTCTGGTTTTCTGATTTACGAATAACGGGTTCCGTACTGTACCTTCGGGGGCATCTTTTTTTTAAATAAATAAAATTTTAATGGAGCACAGATATTTTTAATTTGGGGTATAAACCTAGGAATTTAAATTCAGTTTCAATGAAATGGGCGGCCCGGTACCATTTGATCCATGGACCAGGGGTTGGGGACCACTGATCTACATTGTTTTACTTACCAGAGAGGTTTATACTTACCCAGAGATGCCAACTGCTCCGGACACGCCGAAATAATTAAAGAAACGGTAAATAATTACAAAGTAAATTTTGCGAATATTTGACTATTTTTTCTGGCTTTTTGAAAGGCATAGCATGTCATAAGTACTTGTACAAAGTTGTGAATGATATAAGCCTACGAATTATTTAAATATAGCGGTGGATAAAAATCTACTAAATTGAATTTATTAAACCAAGAATCACAGTTGATAGTCTACCACTTTAAAATACATATTTGCTGTCCGGAGCAAGTTGGCATCTCTGCTTACCAGATAGGTTAACTGACCAGCTGTTCCAGGGTTCCTCCTTATGACCTTTAATCCAGTGAGGCCTTTAATAGAAAAGGTAAATAGTTGGTGATCTGAAACAGTAACTGCATCAGATACCTTCCAATCAGTCATCTAATATACAGGAATAGAGTTACATAAAGTAAGGTCGATGACTTCCATTCTGTTATGCGTAGCAAAGATGGGTTCATTGCCTTGTTCATTGGACTTATAAGTTATAAAATAAAATATGTTCCATTAATACATCCCCTCCCGCTGGTTACAATCACTACTACCCACACTGTGTTGTGAGCATTTGCATTACAGTCAAAGATAAGTCTGCAGTAACTAAAACAGTAACAAAACAGTAAACAGTAAAGTAACAGCAACTAAATCCCTGTGGAGAAAGTTGATAAGGTTAAGGGCATTTAGATTAGACCTAGCCAAGATGCAGGCCCTGGGAGGGTCACAATGGATATCATAAAAAGTATTAAAACCCTTAACATTGAGGGCTATAATTTTACCCTTACGGGTCCAGGGGCTCTTGCATAACAGCAATGTCTAATTCTCCATTCAGCCTTTTAGCCAAGAGACTAGAGGCAGCAATGCTATGATGGAGATTAATCTGACCAACCTTGATTGTTTCTGTTGCCATGAATGATTAAAGGAAAAGAAACAAGAATGGCAACTGCCTATACTGGTGGGATTTAGCAGGAAGATCCCCTTTAACAGTTCTATGGCTTTGTCAATTCTAAGCATAGATGCTAGTAAATCAGGTTGTGGAGTTAAATCCGACCCAGAGCCGACCCCAGCTCTGAAATATCAAGATCATCGATTGAACTTACCTTAGAATCAGGAGAATTGGCCTTCCAGGGTTCCTCATCCTGATCAATTTCCCCCAGCTCTTGGCCTTCAGATGTGACAGAGGGGACATCCAATGTTGTTGGAACCTCTGCTGCCCTTTTCTTATTTGGATCATTGATGATTTTAAAGGTTACACAATCCACACCAGTGAAAGCACCATAATCGGCTTTCACTATGTCCTCAACATCTTCAGGATCAACCTCAAAGATCCATCTAGAAGTGCCCGCTCTCACTGCATTTTGCAGAACTCTCCACCTTATGGACTTCAACCCCATGTTGAGTTGCTGCAGATGTTTTAGGAAGGTAATCTGATCAGAGAACTTTCCTTTGGTCTTGAAGGCTACCTTCACAGGCTTGGGCAACTCATCAGCACTAAGAATTTTCAGTGTGATGTCACCCAAGGATTTCTCATTAAAGTGGCTCCTGATCTAATCCACTGTGTTCAGGAAAGAAAATGGGCCAAGTTTTAGACTCAATATTTATAAAAATGTGCACTATATTATAATTTATTTTGAAGAAAACTTCCGATGAGTTTTAGTTGCACCATTTTTCCTAGCCGCCTTAATGGAGAAGGTGGAAAAAGGAAAGGACTCCGTTGAACGAAGACGCGACAACAGAAAAAACACAAAAATCGAATGTACCGTGCGAAGCGCAGGCAGCCCCTTAAATTGCAAAATGCTATAAACAAGTTACAGTTAGAAAAAATTAGAAGTTGCGGTTAAATAAGCTGCAAAAAGGTAAAAGTTAAAGTTTTAAATATATTTGATAGATACAGTTAAGAAACAACAAAAAATGTAGAAGTAAAAGATCTCATGTGGATAGATAAAAAAAATAGGCGATGCAGCCGCTATTCTACAAATTTGAGAGGAGCAACATTCCAGTTCACTTTCATAAGGGAAAGTGTAAAAATTACCAAATTAATTCAAAAGACTATATAAATGTTTAGATCTAAATATAGTGAGTGACTCCATGTCACATATTATTTTACCTATAAATATATATAGATATTTTTTTTCAATAAATTTCCCCTTAATAAAATTCAATCTTTCATATTGACAATCTAAATGGGCCATAAGTTAATAGTGATAGCTTTCACCATTAACATATGAATAGTCATAGGCAGGGGTTGAAAGAATTTGAAAAATGTGGGTAACCAGTAAAATTATTAGTACTTCCTCTATTTCTGGTTTCGTTTTTTCCAAATTTGAAATTTTGGTGAATAAATCCATGCACAAAAATAAAGTACTACTTACATTTCAAATGCTTAATAATGACAACAGAATGAAAATATTTATTACAACATAATAAAATATTTTAAATTTTTAAAAGAAATGTCAAAATAGTAGAAATCCATGTGTGATTTCAAACTATTATACTTTTGTTTTTATAATTACACAAGTATTACTGGGTTAACTTTATCTGCTACAAAAATACACAAATTAGAAATAAGAGTAGCAATGTTTCAAGTGCCCAAAATTATGTGCCCATTTTCAAGACTTGCCAGACATTAACGAAAAGAAACCAAAGTGAAAAAGATACAAATTCCAATTTTGTTAACATAATGTTATTATAAAACTAGAATTTAGAAATTTGAGGACTATGTGACAGCATGAATATAAATAAGATTTTTCTCCAAAAACTGTTGAAAACAAGACAAGAATGGGGAAAAAATATTGAGTTCAATTCTTTGAAAATTTTTCTTTTCATATATATTAAAAAAAAAATGTCAGATCACCCTTGAAAAGATAAAAATACAGTAGCCACTTAAGATTTGTTGGTTGCCAATGCTGATTGTACTTCATTAGCCCTGAACATATTAGTTGAAAATACATTAGTTTCTTGATATTCAAACTAATTCATTGTCTTGATATTCAAACTAATTAAATATGTTGAAACTATTATTGCTAAAGCAAGCTTTGTGGAAACTTTAAGATGCATTTTTGATAATCTTAACTTAAAAAGTATTTTAAAAGGGATAAACATTGTAGTACATTTATTCCTATGCATTTAAACTGAGGGGGGACTCCGGACATGGTGTATTTGAACATTGCAATTGCAAATGGTTAACAGTTTTTTCTAAATTTTGTGCTAATATAAATATTATAAACTGCATTTTATGAATACAATGCAAATTATGAAAATTACTTCTTTGTTTAACACTTTACACACAAATAGCCTAATTATCTTTAATGCTTATTGTAAAATCAAATATTTGTTAGGCAATAGAAAATAAAACATTTAAATAAGATTATACTATTAAAATTATTTTTAATGCAAAATATATATTATGAACATGAGTAACACTTGCTAATTCACTCTTCACTAAGGTACTCAAGATATATCAGTTCATTTTCATTGCCAACATTATAAAAAGTGACATAGATTTTATCATTCTCTATGACTTCATTTGTTGATGGGCAGCAATTTCTGCTTCTACAAGTTCTTTCTGATTTTGATGCTCTAGACCGAGAATCTTTTGATGTAAAGATGCCAGAATGATTACAAGAAAAGTAAAGTTTTTTGCTGCCATTTGCGAAAGAAATTGAAGCCCTGGAATAGTAATATGACCTGAGTTGAACCTCAATTGCCTCTTTCCATTGTAATAAACCTGGGTGAAATAAAAAAAAACATAATTTAACCTTCACTGTTTATTAGGATACTACTACAATATTACATATTCAATAAATTCAAAATAGATATACAAACTCATTAATTCAGGACCAATTATTACCATGAAAAAAATATTTGAACAAACAAATGTACAAAATGACAGATTTAATGCTAGATGCAACTTAAAATAATCTAAATCAAATCACTGCAACTTAATAATATAAATAAAGCTTTATATGACTGACACTTCAAATTGAAACACATAATAGTTTTTTTTAAAAAACTTCTCACTTCAATCTTAATCCAATCTTAGTAGCTGTTCTATAGGTTTACAAAAATAAAAATCTATTTTTTTTTTTGCAGCACATACCTCATCATTGTAGTTAAACAGCTTATCCATGCACAACAGACTTACAACTCTTAATGTTTAATACCCTAATATAGTAATCAACTAACAAATGTAATAGAAATTACTGTTTTTGAAATGTATCGTAATATAAGTTATAACAGTTACTACATTACATAACAATAGCAACATAATGCAAATTAAAACTTTATACTACTTATAAACTTACTTGTAATAGAACTCTTTTCTTTTACATCTATGATGTTATGAAATTTTGATAAATGGCTCCTTAATAATATCTGAGTTGTGAAACACACCTCGCAACCATTTACTGTACATTTCAAACTTCCAGTTGTTTCATCTGCTTTATAAACGTTCCTTCGATGCTCGTACAAATTTTTATAAATTTTTTCGCAATATTTGCTAATCATTTTATTCATTATTAAACATAAATAATAACAAGTTAATAAGTAATAATAGGAAGCACTAATAACATGTGTAAACAGAGCAAGTGTGAAAACTAAATATCAAATCTGTTGCAAAGGATTTCTTTTTTGACTTTATGAAAAAAAAAAATTTGTTAATGCTGTTGATAGAAAAAATCACTTTCAGAAAATGAAAGTCTTGATATATTGAACGGGCTAATAACTTCCAAAGTAGATTTATTTCTAAATATAATTCACGAATGCCCTCAGTAGACGATTAAAATTGTGATGGTATGTCTTTGGATCATCCCTAGGGATGTTTCCCAAACTGTCGCCAATAGCCCATTGTTATATGTTGATACTTCAATAAGTTTTTTCCACTTACCCTTTTTTTTGTTTCTCACTGAAATTATGTCTTTGCATACCGTTATTTTTACAATACCTGAAATTTCTTAATTAAAATATCTGCAACTAAATCTAGAGAACGAAATACTATGTTGGTACATGTATACTAAAAGGGAAGGAAAATATTTTATGAATGCTTTAATGTTTGTGTTCAATTTCTTTAAACATAACATAGGTTGTAATTCAGTTCTTGAAAGCTTTCCTGAAAACATTATAGTAAGAGAAAATTTATTTAAATTGTGACTGCTGTTCTTAATTAAAACATTTTTTTCTTTTTCATATAGTTTTCTACAAGTTTAGTAGCAAAATTTTCCAGAAGGAAGCAGTTATAAAGGTAATGTGAAAGCAAGCTGATCCGAATATTATCATCCAAGGGATTCCAGTTCTCCATCCAGCAGACCTGCTCCCAAGGACTCTAGCAAAGCTCCAAGCTCGAGTAACAAAAGCCACTCCAGTAAACCTTTGAGCGATCATGACAACAGCCACTCCAGCAAAGCTTAATGTTTGATATGCTTCACAAAGCTTAATGTTTGTGACATATTCCAAGCAACAGAGACTTTGGCCATACATTTCAAGGCCCCCCAAAAAAGAAAGAAAATCATCGACCAACGTTTACTGTCGCGTGCCTTAGATCCAATGGATACCCATCATGAATAGTTACATTTTTCATTCAATGGATGGACCCATTCGTTCACAAGTGTTGCTGGAACAATTATTCAAGATGAAGATGGCCTTTATGATTTTAACAGATGCCATGACAAAAGGAAAATGACTAGTTGTCACAGACAATTTACCGGAATACCATCTGGCTAAAGAAATTAAAACTGATTTTGAAACCTGCGAAATATTTGGGACGATGCGATGTGTATATTGTTCACGTGAGGACTGTTACAAGAGGATTGCTGGCACAGGAGGCATCTCCCAATTTTTTCATTTTCCCATGGAACCCATCGATCATGTGTAAGCCATTTTGTAATTTTTTTAAATAGTCATTTTGTAAATCATTTCGTAAATAGCCTTGTACATATTGCATGCAATAAAAACGTTAGTATAAAAAAAATTTGTATTTATTTCACAATGTTTAAAAAAATGTTACGGGTTCCCCTATTTGGGAGACCAGTCCCATTTTTTTGAAACACTCACCATGCCGACATTAAATAACTTCATTTTTTGCACTTGCCAGCACGAGTGCTTCTGGTATTCGAAATATGTCCATATATGAATGATTTTACTTTTTCAACTCGTGAAACTTTATTACATTCACCTTGTATCAACTGGCTCTTAATAAGTGCCAAAAACAAAATGATTCAATGTTGGCATCTCGAGTGTCTTAAAAAAATGGGATAGGTTCCCAATTGGGGGGACCTATCCCATTTAGAGCTCCCCCATAGATCTTGGAGCATCACAAATCCTGATGGAGCATCACTAACCCCAATGGATCTTGGAGCATTAGCGTGGATCTCATGGAGCATCACAAACCCCATGGATCTAGGAGCATCCTGATGGAAACTCCTCCTAGGATACATTGAAACTGTTTACGGACAACTCGCAACCATTAAAATTTAAGGTTGCATGTTTCTTCGAGTCTCTCACTCCTTGTTGCTGTGCTGCAATTTTACGTTTTAGTGTTTCATTTTCGTATTTTGTTGCTCTTGTGTGTTTCCTCAAGTCCCGGACTTCTTGTGCCAGTGCTGCTCTCTTGTTCAGCGCTGCGTTGAATTTAAGCATTTCTACACCTAGTTTATTGGTCATGTGCTCTAAAATGCCCAGCTGAAACGTTTTCACTCGACCACATTCAAATACTCACACAACCCGTGAGTTTTGAACCCTGTTGAAAAAGCACATCATCATGAAGCGGGCTGTGAATATTTTTTTCTGGTCCTGTCGTTGTGTCGCTGAAACTTTCAGAGCATTCTCTGAAGCATTCGGAGCATCACGAACCCCATGGATTTTAAAGCATCATCATCCCAACTGATCTCGGAGAATCACAAACCCCATGTATCTCGGAGCAACCAATATAATTTTAGAGCAACGCTATCCGGATGGATTTCAAAGCATCACAAATCCCTCGGAGCATCAGAATAGTTATGAGAGCATCTCAATTGAGTTTGGAACATTCCAATAGTGTTCAGAGCATCTCATGGATTCTGGAGCAGTCCAAAGAAACAATGTAATATGAATGTTCTTCAGAGCAACCCAATGCAGTTCAAAGCCTTACTGTGTAATGTGCTGGGCAGAAACGTTTCCCCTCGACCACAATCAAATGTCTCACAGCATTATCATGAATGTAATATATTAATAATTTAAGCATCGAGGAGCAAATGTTTGTTCTGTATTTTGAGGCTTCTGGTTTGGTTTTGTGGGTATGATAATGCCTTTTCTGAAAATTCCTTCACAGTAAGAGGAGTATATTTTGTCTTTTGGTATATGGGGAAGTACTAGCACTGTCCCAGCATCTACTTGTGGTTTTAATACAATTTTCTCATTTCCCTCTACAGATAATTATGACTCAATTTGTCCTTGGTATCCTGAGGGAAATTGAGTATTGAGTACTTTTACACAGCTCAAATGGGGAAACAGTGTAGCAGTTTCATTGGGTAATAATCCAGTTTAACAGGTACAATTTCTCCACGACGTAAAATTATTTACCTATTTGGTATTGGCATACACAATGATTCTTAGTAAAATCAACATATACAATGTGTCTCTTGGTCGGGAGTGTGACTCTCTGCTTCACTCTCTTTTTCATTTGTCATTTGGTCACTGTTGAACATTTTCAATATCACAGAAATTATAATGAAGTTCAACAAATAATAAGTTTGTGAGCTTCCAACCAATGCTTACAATCGTTTTAAAATTTTTTTTTAATGAATATCTTTTGCCTCAGGTATCAGAATATTTTCCTCAACCCGATTCATGATGATTTCAAATTCTACACATGCTTCACTACTAACGTGTTGTGTGACATTTGATTGTGGTCGAGTGAAAACGTTGCAGCTCAGCACGTAAATCAGTTATGCTATGAATTGCATTGGGTTGCTTTGAACAACATTCATATTGCATAGCTTCTTTGGACAGCTCTGAAAACTATTCATATGCCCCATGACGTGAGTCTGAAATTAATAGGGATGCACGGGTTGTGTGAGTATCTGAATATGGTCGAGTGAAAACGATTCAACCGGGCATTATAGAGCACATGACCAAGAAATTGGGTGTAGAGATGCGTAAACTCAACGCAGAAATCATATCAGAAATTGAAACACTGAACCGTATGAGTGCAGCACCGGAACAAGAAGTAATTGACTTGAAGAAACACGATACGAAAATGAAACACTCAAACGTAAAATTGCAGCACTGGAACAAGGAGTGAGAGACTGGAACCTTGAATTTTAAAAGCTGTGAGGTGTCAGTATATAGTTTCAATGTGTTCTAGGTGGAGGGAGTTTCCATCGAGATGCTCCTAGATCCATGGGGTTTGTGATGATCCATGAGAACCGTTGATGCTCCAAGAATGAATGTTTTAGTGATATAAGAACAGGGAGAGAAAAATTTTTTTGGTTGAAGCCCAGAAAATTTTTTGGTTGACTGGAGCTCAGAAAATTTTGTGGAGCCCGAGTCAAAAGATCTTCATCAACACAATATTGCAAAAAATTTCTTCTCTGTTTTTTACTTGTTATATGATGAAGATCGTTTGTCTCGGTCTCCAAAAAATTTTCTTCAACCCGATTCATGATGATGTGCTTTTCAAAACCTAAACATGGCTCACAAGATCCTTGTGTGAGCTCGAACATTTGATTGGCGAACACTTAAAATATTTACACAATCATAGGGATCCTGCATTCGGTAGTTTTGAACAACATTCGTATTGCAATGCTCCTGAATGTGATGCCCCATGACGTTCCTCTGAAATTCATTGTGATGCTCTTGAATCCATTAGACTGCTCCATGGGATTTGTGATGCTTCGAAATCTATTGTGATGTTCCAAGATCCATTGGGGTTTGTGATGCTCCAAGATCTATGGTAATGCTCCAAGGTCCTTGAGAGTGCTCTAAATGTTTTAGCGAATACTCTGAATGTCTAGGTGGTACAAGTACAGGACCAGAATTTTTTTTTGCTGAAGTTTAGAAAAACATGTTGATTAGTGTGAGCTTCCACTGTAATGCTCTTGAATCTATTAGGATGACCCATGGGATTTGTGATGCTCCATTGGGATGGTGATACTTTGAAATCTATTGAAATAGCGTTGCTCTGATATTCATAGGGATGCTCCGAGATCCATGGATTTTTGATTCTATATGGGATTTGTGATGCTCCAAGATCCACTGGGATGGTGACACTCTGAAGGTTTCTGAGAATGATTTGAATTTGAATGATACGCAAGGACAGGAACAGAAAAACGTTTGACTGAGGGAAAAAAATTCCGAAGCCCGAGACGAAAGTAACATACAACACAACAATGTAAAATTTTTTTACAGTGTTATAAATATGAAGATCTTCAAACTGCAGAATATTTCCCTTCCTGAATCATGATACTGCTCATCTGAAGAATTTTTCCAGCCGTCCCTGGTCAAAAGTTGTTTAAAAGTTTCACAAATCAACATATAATCTTTCATAGCTCTAGAATAATCGATTCTTGTCTCCTTTGATGAGCAAGCACAATCATTTGATGATTAAAAGCAATTATTTCTGCTTTTTCCCAAAATGATACGCTTGGGATGACGTCACTTCCGGTTATTTTTTCAGTTTTCAGTCTGCTGGGAAATTTGGCTGAGCAAGAATTTTTCCGTGTTGAGGATTTTAAATAGCGTCAAGTTGGCATTCTTTAACAAAGCATTTACATTTTTGCATCAAAATGGGATTTTGACAAACCATAATGGCTTCTAGATGATGGAATTTATTGTAAACTGGCAATAATTTGATGAATTCGTGTCATAGTGGGTTAGGAGTAGCTTTCGAATTTCATGGATGCTCAGAGATTCATGTTTCGTGATGCTGCATGGGATTTGTGATGCTACAAGATCCATTGGGATGGGAATTGAATGCTTCTGAGAATGCACAAAAACATTTCATTCACTGAACCCCTCATGGAAAATTGTTTTTCGATTTTCAAGTTTGGACACGGGATTTAAAATTTTCCGATGATGGAGGTTTCAATAACACTGCTGAATGTGTCGCTTTGCGTTTGTGAGTTTTTACACCTGGCTGCGGCGTCAAAATTTCGTCGTTAGAGCATGCGCATTCCACGCAGCTGGTGTACGAGGAGACACGAGTTGCTG